TTTAAGACAGGAGTTATATTTCCCGTTGACCGAATGTGTGAAAGCGACCCTAACCTTTCTCTTTGCATTTTCCTACAGATATCAGGATTCAATAAAATCATTACAATGGGAATATCCCATAACCTTGACAATAAAAATAATGTTCTCATGACTATAAGCATTGCGGGGGTCATAATTGTACTGCAACCCTACCATAGCTAGATGTGGATGGTAGGTCCGAGTATACGAAAATCAACAAATAAAGCTAGCATATTTGAGGATCCCAGCTCTGGCTTGTGATTGCAACTTTGTCATAATTATTTGAAATATCTATAATTACTGAAATTTGTTGTTTAATATCTTTGGATACTTCGGCTTTTTCACTTGGCTTTGAAAATCAGTCGTTCGTTTTGTGGCGTGAGCTGCTTCTCTCACTGAATCGTGTGAATCCTGACAACTTCCCCAGTGTTTACTTCGGCGCCTCTACATAATCGCTACTTACGGATGTAATAAAGTCACTTAATGAATTGCAGATGTAGTAGGTGTTTATCTTGGATCTCCATGATACTACACATAGAGGCCATCATTACAGTAAACATTGTAATTTTAGACTGTAATTTACATGTGCTATGAGGAAGCTGAAACTAAATATTTTATACATTTTCCCGGAGTGTGGGTGGGCGATGTTTTCAAGTGTTTAGAATTTAATGTGTCTGTGCAGATGCGTGCGCCTGTGTGGCTGTAGTGTGTGTGTGGATGCATGTGCGTGCGCTTGTAACCGGGTATGTGTGGTGGGTGAGCTCATGGCGCCAGCACTTGCAACATCAATAATTAATTAATCAATCGCCAAGTTTTCTCACTCGGACGACGTATCTGGTTGAGCTGATGTGAGTGTGTGTGTGTGTATGTTGTTGAAGCTGGTATGTGTGTGTGTGTGTTGTTGAAGCTGGCTTGTGTGTGTTGTTGAAGCTGGTATGTGTGTGTGTTGATGTGTGTGTGTGTGTGTGTGTGTGTGTTGTTGAAGCTGGCTTGTGTGTGACTCAGGTCACACGTGAGTCATTGTCAGAGCTATCCATAGGGTGAGTTACCTACAGTGGGAAGTGTATTCATTTTATGTTTGTGTCCGAGAGTCAGTGTCTAGTAACGTAAATATAATGTTCTAGTAATTTCGATATAATGTTCTATTAATGTGCCCATGCCATTCAGTTAATTAAAAAATAGTTGTATTGAAAGCGGTGTTTAGAAAGCTTTCCCCTAAGAAAGTATTAACAGTAAATAACTAAACGGCCACGCTACCAAACTTCCTCTCTTTACAATCCCCCGACTATAGTATCTTTCTATGAAAAATCCCCCTCATTACAGCGAGATGCCGGGGTAGTTGTCACAGTCTGACTGGTCGCCCTTGTTCTTATGAATATTTACGATGGAGGCATCTTTAAGAGCTTGGGGGATTTCCTCCTTTTCCCATATATTCTCCAGGAGAGAGTGGAGATGTCTGGTAAGCAGAGGTCCTCCTGCTTTATGCACCTCGGCTGGGATTCCATCAAGCCCTGAAGCTTTGTTATTTTTCATCTGTTGATGGCAGTGGCTACCTCATTCAGGATGGAGGATAGCTGAGGTGGGTCAGCTCTGGATGCTGAGGGACCTACTGGGTAGTCAGGACATCCACATCGGTGTTTCGATTGAGCAGAGAATGGTAGTGCTCTTTCCAGTGCTGAAGGAGGCCTTCTTCGTCTTTAATCAGTTACCTTCGGATGAGCGGAGGGGGGGCTGCGCCATGAACTGCTTTAGTGGAATTGAAAAATTTGCATATCTTGTGTTGATCTGCAAGTTTTTACGTTTCACATGCTTTATTTTTAAACTAGCTGTTCTTTAGATTGCGAAGTTTGCGCTGGGCAGCCACACTCTTCTTGCGGAGGGTATCAGCTTTGGTTCGAGACTGACACCCGTATTATTAAACAACATCTTCCCTTTCTGACTTAGAGTCTTCTTGAAGGGATTGTTCTTTCAAGCGGTATTTTTAATTGCTCGAACCTCTTCCCCTTCGTGTGGGACCAAGTAGGGGAGGTCTGGTAAATTGGTAATACACCTTTTCACATATCCGTTTAGACATTGTTACATAACTTTTTGACAAATTTCATAACCGAATGACAGAACACATATCGAATGGCAATCTAAAATAAATGTTCGTTCATGCTAACGGAAATGATTGACATAAGTTATGAAGTTGACAGACGTGAACAATAAACCGACAGTCTACATATAGTTTGAGAATGTAACAATTGGAGAATGACATACCACCAACAGTTATTTTAGATTGTCATTCGATATGTGTTCTGTCATTCGGTTATGAAATTTGTCAAATAGTTATGTAACAATGTCTCAACGGATATGTGAAAAGGTGTACTGTCCACTTCGCTGATGCATTATGGGTCGTCTTACTCGTGTGTTTGTTTACCTTCGTTGGAGCTAAAATTATGAGTTCTGTGCTCTCCTATATCGCAGAGAAAGCGTGATTTATTAGTCCATTTGATTGGGGAGGAAAAGATTTTACAAAATAAAATTACTTGTGGAAAGCATGTTAGTTACAAACACGGGAAAATATACATTTTCTAAGGTTTCCAATGTAATTTTCAAATATAACTTATGTACAGTAATGCATAAAATAATAGGAAATGGCTTTCAAGTGCTGATATGTCCTTATTATATTGTCATGGGTTAAAATTTTTGGGTGCCAAAAAGAGGCATAGAAAGATGAGAACTTTTAACAGTGGATATTAAAGCTTATTATCGATGTTGTTAAAATCAGGAAAGGACTTAGGATAGCCATGGCCAGATTATTTGCTTAAGACAATCAGCCAGGAACATGCTGGATGCTTTAGGGACAGACCGAGGCCAAATATTTCGCCCTTTGTAGGCAAGGTTCATTAGGTTAGGTGAGGTTAGATTATGATACCTTAGGTCATTATGTTGCTTCTTATTAACTTTCTGACGTTTCTTTCAATATTCTGCCATGTTCGTTATCAAGAGATGAAAGAATCTAAAGTGCCATAATTTACACGATTGCTTAGGTTTATTTATAATATTCTATTAAAGTACCTGGTGCTTGGATGTAATATTCATTTTAAAAAGTAACTGCCACTCATGACAACAAATGTAAGAATGAATTTTTTCTTTCCGCATTTTCTACTGTCGAGCAAATTTTAGGTACAGTCTCACCCAAAAGTTCGTTAACTCTCCCAGCTAGCTATTGCTGCACTGCCTGCTTCAGATGTTTGAAACTGTCTCAATACCAACCAGAACATGACACCGATGCGAATGAATCTAAAGGTTCGAACAGACTCAAGTTCATATATCTGAAGCAGGCAGTGCAGCAATCGCTGGCTGGGAGAGTTAACGAACTTTTGGGTGAGACTGTATATAACTAGTAAATTACTTTTTCTATTGCAAACAAATCATTGTTAAACTCCTGAACCCCTGCATTTGTTCCAACCGAAGGAGGACATGGGGAACTACAGTGTATATTATACAATTTTTTTGTATTTTTTCCATACTCCCTAGTCCCTACATCATACTGATTATTAGAAAATTATTAATTTTCCTCACAGTAATTCTCCAAATATAGAACCAACATTTCAAATACAAGTCCTGTATAAGAAAATGTGCATCCATGAAGAAAATAGTAAGCTGCATATTTGCTGAGATTTTCTTGTACAGTATTTACTAATTTGCATTTCTAATGCTTATAAACCTAACACGAGAAAGCATTTGATTGTATATTATATATTACTAACCACAGTACAACCGTATCTGGTAATAGCTGTTTCAAGTATTGTACAAATATTAAAGTATCTAGAATACAAGTATTGTAGTGTGGCCTTCACAGCCAGTTACCAACATTCGTACTTTAACTATACCTCTAACTATTAGTTGTTGCTTGTACACTCTAGGAAATAATGACTAATGGTAGATAATGGTTAATGAGTGCACCTCCAAGTTAAAAGCAGAAATATGTTGTAATGTTTACCCAGCAGCAAGCATTCTCAAACTAAAGTCCAGACCCTGTCATGACTTCTATACTGACCCATATCTTCACGAATATTATGCTTTAATAGCAACGAGGAGTGTATGAGAGTTAAGTAGGTTTATTAGGAGCATATTTAGATATCTAGAATAGGTGTATTCTGCATGTGTATGCTGAAACGTCGGAGTAGGTCAGCCGAGTGTAAACATTGGGGCTTACAACTTGTATTTGTTAGTTCACTTGAGTTTTATCACTTACGAAATGCCCCTGACTCACATTGTGAAAAACGCACCTTTACGCCTTACCTGAACAGGGCTGATGCGATCTGAAGTAGTCATTCGCTGTAAACTCCTTGATTGCAGCTGTATGCGCGTCGTCTGCTCCCAGCTTCTGGCGTCATCGCCAAAATGGTGCAGTTTACTGTTGCACAAATAGTTTAACTTCTCAGGAATAAATCACGATGGTTTTAACTTTAATTTAAAAACAATATTCATCGTATTTTTCTAACAGTGTGACACTGTGTTAAAATATGTTTCCCCAGAACCGCCAACTCGTCCATTGTCAACCAGCGCAGTGAGCTATGTAGTAAACAAAGTAAGCTCTTCTACCGAAAACAATTTGATATTGATGTTTTAAATAAATAAAACAATGAAATGAAGAAAAAAATAATACATTTAAGAAATGAGAACACTACTTCTTTCTCAAGCATTTTATTTACACTATCAGCGTGATCTTCACATGAATTACAAACATACAAAAAATAGGTGGCCGGTAATAAAGTCACAGGCAAAAAAGTCACAAAAAAGTCACAATTTTGGCTAGGAAAAAAAGTCACAGGAAAAAAAGTCAGAAAAAGTCACAATTTTGGCTAGGAAAAAAAGTCACAATTAATTTATGGTGGCCGGTAATAAAGGCTAGGTTAGGTTAGGTTAGGTTGACATATTAACCTTAAAAAATGTGAGAATTCGATAGTTAACTTTTCTTTTTTTCCTGTGACTTTTTCCTGTGACTTTTTTTCTGTGACTTTTTTACCTGTGACTTTTTTACCTGGATTCAATGAATAAACATGGCGGCATAAAGACGCAAGTCTCTCAATAGGACACTCGCTCTTTACCAAATACACCTGTAATTTCAAAATATTTCTTTGACACACCTGCCTCGTCCTTGCCCCTCAGCTTAGTATTGAACGTTCCTCCGTTAATAATGTAAAATTTTAATGAAAAAAAAAGTGGATCCTTAAGTATATATAATTTTTAAAGGAGGTTTAGGATACTTTTATAGAAATGCAGGAAATATAAATTGGAACCTTTACGACAGTATACTATACTCCAGAACCTCTCATAAAACCCTCGTGTAACGGCGGTCAAGTCTCAACCCACTGGATTACCGACACTCCGCCAATAACATAACAAACATCTAAATCATACCACAAAATAACTTACAGTCCTCAGTACACGCTAACGATTTATTAAATTTAAAGAAAACAATCTGATCAAACGAGTTTCATTTGGAATAGAATTCAACAGGCAAATTTCCTTTGCGTCATGAAACTCCTTACTATGAGAAAATTAGTATTAATAGTTTCTTTTTCATGTTTACTAATGTCTGACTGCACTTGACCGGTAGACTTTTTCTCAAGGTTGAGTATCTTATCCAAAATTCTAAATAGTTTAATTTTACGGTCCATTCTGGCACTGTTCTCGAGTAAGTTACAATATTTGACTACTCGTATATTGTTCCGTCACGTCTGCAGCTGTTTTTGTACAGTTAGTGTTCTTACTCTAATGTCTCGTCGATTATTGATGGCTATATGCATCAGTGCACGAAAATAAGTGTGTAGTTTTTAAATCTACTAGAAAATGCAGAAATTTTGAGTTCTTCATAAGTAATAATTGACCTTCATAAATATAAAACATAAAATTAAGATATGTCGTGAAATATTCAGTCGTTATATAACTACAAGACTTGCCTGTCGGTATAGTGGCCCCCTCAGTTCTCTTTAAACGTTGTTGTTGTGGTTGTCTTAAGGTCGCGTTACACTTGATATTTTTCCGTCGTTATTTCCGTGAATTGTCACATTTTCTAGCCCGTCTCGCTCACACGAAACATATCGTTTCCTCCTGTCTGGCTTGCGCCAATTTCTGTGGTCAAGTGAAGATCTATATTCGACAATGAATATATTTATATAAAATATCGAACCACATAAAATAACTAAATTCGAGTTTAAAAACATTCAGTATCGCATTTTTAATAAATTTCTTAGGGGTATTTTTTTATTGTTGATATTTATAATTACAGCTGATGTTTGTTTGCATTGAGACGTGTTCAACGTCTTCACGGCCTATCTATTCCTGTGTGAACACACCTGTCCGAAGAATATATGATAGACAATATTAAATCTCATCGTTGCCTGTGGAATCCAAGGGACGATAGATACAGTAAAAAAAAAAAATAATAATAAGAGGAAGGCATACAACGCCATCTTCTTTGTTTACAATTGACGAACGCAGAAAGACTGGCGTGCTAGTTCTCTGTGCGTGCTTAACGGGGCGCTCAGAAATTTGAAAATGTTAAGAAAATTTATGCAATAAACTGACAAAAGGTGCTAGTGTAGCGGCGTCTTTAACTGGTGTTCATTTTGGCCCATCATACCACCCGTTTCCCTTTTCTCAGATTTTGTATATATTTTATGCCAGTACATTTATTACCTTTATTATTTTTTTTATTTTACTTTGCACTTGTTTTAAGTATGTCAACACGTCTATCTCTCATACATTCAGGCCAGTTTTTTTATTACATGTATATGTCTACTTCCTCCTTCCTGCCATTATTATATACACGAAGGTCATAAGCTGCCCATCTTGTTCCTGTGCCCTTGGCAGTTGTTGACTTGTCGAGTTCTGGTGGATGATGACCATGGTCCTCGAGGCTTAAAACAACCCCGCCTTCTTCTTGAGGTTGTTTCGCTTCCACTGCGGGATGGAGCTGAAGTCGTCACGATCCACCCCGAACACCATCTTGAAGTCTCCGTCACACAAGAAGTCCTGAGAAGAACATGACCATGTACAGTGGGATAACGTGGCAAACATCTTGAGTGAACTATATCATTAACTAAAAAACGCGAAATAAATGAGTGCATATAATTCTGGTAATACATATAATTAGCTATACTGTAATGCCATAATTTAAGGACATGACTTTTTGCCTTTAGTTCGTGCAAAATAGTAACATATTGATATACAGTATTATGTTCTCAGGAGAGAAAACAAGATTAACATATTCATGACAGAGTTTCTAAACTAGAAAAATAAAAATTCAGACATTTTCATACAAACAATGAAACCATTGATGATTTTGCAACAGATTGAAAGTTAGCTTTATTAAATATAATTTACAGTGACATTTGAAAAAAAAATCCGAAACATTTATAAATACCTTCAGCTTTCCGGCAGGTGTAAACTCGAGAACTACTTTGGATGAATAAGAGGACAGGAATCATTCAACTTTACCATTTGTTTCACAAGTGAATAAGCAGTTCTACAAAGCCAAGGTTCTGTTTACGTTACATGATCCCCTAACATACGATGAACATCATCTTCCAGAAATGGCCAGTTTCTTTCATATACTGTACAGTATACAGGAGTTTATCCTTATTAACCTTGAGAAAGAATTTGATCTACAGTATGCTGAGGAATCTTTTTCTTTAGCCTTTTATTTACATGTTCACTTATATTTTGTCAAACTGAATGGTGTTCGTTCGGCCACTAGCACATTTTCAACTCATACGTTTGTAAGACTTTGAAGGAAGAGCAACACTCCGTCAGTCTCTCATCTTCTTGCGCCAGTCCTTGAAGCGCCAATATAAACATGAAGTTAAGTGATATATACAATACTGTACAGTAGTTGTCATGCAGATGCCATGTTTATAGCTTTAATTACATTATTAAGAACATGCAGGCTACCAACCATCTACATATAGCATAGAACAACAAAAGAATTTCTTAACTTCATCTCCCAATTTATCAAAAAATTTCCAAGACAGTGGGGCCATCGTTTATTGTGTGTACTGCACTGCTGAATATTAAACTTTTTAATATGGCTTAGTGAACCACTGAGTGGCATGATATACTACGTGTATACTCAGTTTTGTATCACTCACTGGTTTGTTCCTGCTAAAATTAAAAAAGTTCAGATTGTTTTTGTTAATGCGCCCCTAACTGCAGAAGCCATGGTCTCCTTTCCTCTCCATTAATAAATTAAATCGTGTTTTCCTTGTTATCCCATCGATGTTTGCTCTCCGTGACTCACCTCCTTGTGAACGGGGTCTACCTCCGATGGGAGCTTCTCTGAGTCCTTCTCCCGGAGTGTAGCCAGTGGGAAGGTTCGTCTACCTGAGGATCCTCCAGAAGACGATGAAGTAACCAGGACGGTGGCTCCTGGGGCCGCCTCCTCCAAACGTTCACAGATGTCCGCGTACGTCATGTTGTCCTGCACACCACATTACATATTGATATTATGAATTAAAGGTTTTGATTAGGATTAAGCTGTGAATTAAATGTTTATAAATTATCTCCCCTAACCCCTTCACAACGGGGACGCTACTTCTTATAATTTATTTAGCTAGCGCCAAACGATTTTATTCAATAGAGAGAGGACCCCCGTACGCAACTGGTTAAAATAAATGAGCTAAGATAGTAAGATATGAATAAGGAGTTATATTATGAATAAAGATTTGAGTTATAGGCGTAAATAATAAATATATGCTTAAGAAGGTAACATTGAAGGGATGTCCAGTATCAGTATGTGGATTACATCATACGTAACCTAATGGCCCATTAATCGTATTAAATATCAGAATATAAGCATAACTACAGTTTTCTACACATATGACTACAATAGCACCACCTCTCACTCTCCTTACTCTCCCCCACCTTGTTTACGCAGCATCTTTTAACATATTTCTAAAACTCCCAGAAACACTCCATCACTCACGTTCCAGAGGTCGTTGTCCCAGATACCAAAGAAGCCGGTGAAATTGGGTGGCTCAAAGCCCTGTTTGATCTTGATGATGGGAGTGCCCTTCTCTCGGCCAGCGGGGTCCGTCCGCAGGTATTCAATCGCCAGAGCGTCCGCCGCTTTCTGTTCGTCCTGTGGCAGTACGAGGGAAGTTGAGATATATTAGTGAGTGACGACATAGTGGGTACTTATCAGGTGGGAGGGCAGGTGGCGGGTAATAGTGGGTAGGAGAATGATAGACAAGTTGAGGATATTCATTATTAGGTGTATGTTAGTGGGTTAACAGGCGTATCGGTTTTCTTTCTTGTCTTTCACAGAGAAGCACCTGGTAAGTATTGTTGTGTACTGACTCAGTGCTCCGTCACTCTGTGGTAAACATAACACCGGTGTAACTTGAACTATGGGTGACAGTTACAGCTCTTAAAATATTCCAATGTTAAAGTACTCTATTCATTATTGATGTCTTCAGGTTTTATCTTTTATCACCTGAAGATTCCTTCCCCAACTTATTTCATTATAAAATCAACTAACCTAACCTTAAGCCGTCCAGGTAGCGTTAAGGTGGTCAATCATCAGGTGAAATATTATGTTGGGAAGTTTAATACTTCAGGTGATCCTTTCTCTTTGATAAACTCAATTAATAATGAGCTAATTTACGGGAGTAATCTGTCGAGGAAAAAAAAGAAGAGACGTAACAAACAAGAAATGAACTAAAACAAGGAATGTGACGCACCTGTGTGGGGAGGTCTCAGGCTGACAAACATTTAGTGGTGGGTCAAGGTCGTGGTGGGTCAAGGTCGTGGTGGGTAATACATGAAGGGATCTTGTCCTCACACCACATGTCACCACCAGTCATCTCAACCCCCGTTTACTCACTACATTACGAACATTTTATGGATCACGTGAAGATTAAGTATCTGAGCTTATTTTATCTGAAGATTAACCACCCTAACAATAACCTAATTCCTCCAGGTAGCATCAGGGCGCTTAATCACCAGGTGAAATAAGTTGGGGTGCCTAATTTTCACGTGATCCAACCTTAGTTTTATTATAGAGGCTGCACATTTAATCAATTATTCTGTGCCGTTTATGTCTGGAGGAGATGACGTGTTGAACAGGTAAGTAGGCAGTAGGCAGCTATCGAACAGGGAGGTACAAGATCACCGAAAAACTCCCAGCCCATGAAATTATGGAACCCGGCACTGTGGAAGATGGCTGGAAAGAGTTGAAGACTGCAGTGAGTGAAGCTACAATGGAAATACTTGGCTTTTCTAAAAAACGACATCAAGACTGGTTTGATGAGAACTCGCCTACCATCCATGATCTTCTCAAAACCAAAAAATTAGCCCACGATGCAGTGCTATCAAATCCTCAATCACAAACACTGAGGGACCGGTTAACCAACATCAGGTCAGAAACACAAAGACTGTTACGCAGCATGGAAAATGACTGGTGGGTAAAAAAAGCACAATAAATTCAAGCCTTTGCTGATGTCAATAACACACACACGACTTCTATGGGGAAGTTAAGTCCATCTATGGCCCACAAAGAAGAGATGTCACACCGGTAAGATCTTTAGATAACAACACACTCTACAAAAGCAATCAAATGATTGCAGTAAGATGGGCTGAGCACTTCAGCACACTTCTAAGTCAAATTAATCCAATAACACCTACAGCACTGGATAACATCCCACCCATGCCGACCCTGCACCTCCTGGATGAAGCCCCACTCCTACAAGAAGTGGAAACTGCAATACGAGGACTCAGCAACAACAAGAGCGCTGGACCTGACTGCATTCCTGCTGAAATCTACAAACATGGGGGTTTCCCAGCTGACTGAGTGACTCTATAGCCTCTTACTCACCATATGGACCACAGAGACCATATCCCAGGATTGGAAAGATGCAAATACCATAACATTCAATAAGAATAAAGGTGACAAAGCAATCTGTGGTAACAACAGGGGCATCTCCCTCCTTGTAGTTGCTGGCAAGATCCTGTCATGTTACGGGTGGTGGTAGTGAAATGTGATTAGAATAACCAAGTCTAGGTGTGAGATCAACGTTCCTCATGGTTTGACTGCACACGTGGGACGTAGGAATTCCTCTTCAAAAGTTTGTGAAAGGCTGTTAGTCCCTTAAAGTACGGGTGCATTCTGAACCTATGGGTGAAGTATGTTACGGGTGTTGGTGGAGAAATACACTCATGACTCCTGAAACCTAGAGAGAGTAATGAAAAGAACAGCGGAGCACCCGCCTGCCTGACGGGTCACAAGTGATTTTCTCGGTTTCTTGTAAATGCCTGGCCCTTGGCAGGTTAGTAGTTACAACCTTCGGGTTCTGGGTAGTTAGGATATATTATTTTGTGGGTCATCCCAGACACGCTATGAGTGATCCATGTTCTTGTGTGGTGTGACTAAAATCGGGATTTCTATAATTTTGTCGGATGCCCTTACAGTAAGGCATGTTCATCGGTGCAAGTAATATTTTTTAATGCTTTATGTGCCACTAAGTGATGTAGGATGTACGAAGGAATTGTTTCAGATGAGTTCCTCGTTCTGGTGTAGGTAGTACTGCTGCATTGGTAGTTCTGTTCAGATGCAATTAATATCTTTTAATAATTTTTTTGATACCATGTATAAGTTTTGTTTCCCATTGTAGTGTTATAAGCCGTGCTAAGAAGTACTCCAGAGCCTGTGTACAATTATTGATTGTGTCTGTAGTGTTGGAAGGAATAGAAGTGTCATCTTTTACCAGTGCGTCTCATTAACCCCAATCACAGGTACTAGCTTTCCACGGTCACGGAAAATACTTTTATTAATTGTGTTTGTGCTGGTTCGGGATTTTCTCTGAGGGGCGCTTCCACTGCATTACCATCCACTATAACTAAAAAAAACAAAACAATAACTAGTAGTGAGATATTCCGACCGGTTACACACACACACACACACACACATATATATATATATATATATATATATATATATATATATATATATATATATATATATATATATATATATATATATATATATATATATATATATATATCTTTTCTCGAACAGTTGAAAATGACTGACCTTGTTGGAGGAATGACCGATCCAGAGGAAGATGGAGTCCCAAGTGTCGAGGACCATCACGTCATCCTCCATGAGGTCACCCTGCGAGAAGTTGATCACCTCCTCGGCTGCGGACAACACAATTATCAAGAAAAGGAATTATTGAACTGATCATTACAATATGAATAAAACCCAAGATGATGAGAAAAAAGAAAGAATGAAATATGTCAACACCCAAGAACCATGTCGGACAACTTCTGTTAACAGGGTCGTGAATTAATGCACTGCCAAACATAAATTATTCAATACACTACTTTAGATCTTCTACTTTATAATTATCTTCATCGAATGTTAAGTTCTAAATGTGGTAAGGTGTGTCATCATAATTATAGTCATTACAACTGATCACAGAGTTTTCGCCAGACACTACATTAAAAGTGACTGAGACAAAAGTTTTAGAGGTATAAGGTCACTCTGCATTATTTGTGTGTGGGAGCCTATCTGTGAAGGTGTAGGAGTGCTGGCAGGGGAATTGGAGATCTATGGACTGGGTCTGCCCTTGATGGTGGCGTCATTACTGAAATGCATTTTCCAACAAGCAGAGTAAAAAATAAAAAGCTTTTTGCTTAATCTTTAAACGTTTATCTGGAGCAAATTGTATCTGCCTTGGTCATGACTGTATGCCGCCCTGGCCTGCCCAATACTGTATTATACACCTCCACAGCCTCGCCCCCAAGCCTTTACCAGCAGTGTATGACTTAATGCCTACACTAAACTGCCCTATATCTTCCCATTAACACCTCCAGTACTTAAAGAGGTCTGCATGATCAAAACAAGCGAATCATAATGTTACGACTAATCCATCTAAATTGTACTCACTCCCTGTGTGCTTCATTACCGCATTTTGTTATCACATTTCTCGGGTGTACAGTGTGGTTTGTGCTTCATCATCTTAACCCCCGTCTTTATCAACACATCGCCCCCACTGGTGCTGATGACGTATTACTCTACCAGGGGGCGCCACACCAGACACATCCATCCAATAAACATTAAGGTGGATAGTTTATTTGAACAGTGTGATCTCCCTAATACATTTAAAGTGGATGGTTTATATTCACAGAGTATTCCAACACAACATTTTCCTCTCTCGTTTAACCTCGGCCTCACGAATCTTTGAAAAATCCATTAGAGAATTGCCATCATTATTTTCTCATTTAGGTTAGGTTAGGTTAGGTTAAGTTAGGTAAGGTAAGGTTGGGATAGGTTAGGTTAGAATATGTTAAGTTAGGTTAGGATAGGTAGGGTTATATTAGGTATTTTGCTCTACTTTACTGTGTTTAATGTTATAGAACTGACCTTTGAAGACACCGGAAGCATTGGAACATTGAAAGAGTCTTGGTGCATTTGAGGACTGTTCTTCCTTCAACCTGGTTGAGCTGGCGTAAACCTCCTTCCCTCCTAACACCTTCCAAAAGTCTTCCTTCTCGTACCCTGCAACAGCCAACACCCCCTCAAACACACTCCACCTTTAACTCCACGGGCTAAGGGTAAACATATGGGAAAATACCTTCACTAGATTCTTAACTAAGGAGCTGGGAATAATGGGAATTTATTTGTTTATTTATGTATTTATTTATTTATAGATTTTCTTTCCTTCAGCCTCTGTATCCACTTTCCCTTATTCTCTCCTCTTTTGTTTAAGTTTTTTTTGTTTGCTATTCTTTCTTTTCGCCCTGTCCATCCCTCCCTCCACCCTGTCCTTCTCTCCCTCCACCCTGTCCTTCCCTCCCTCCACCCTGTCCTTCCCTCCCTCCACCCTGTCCTTCCCTCCCTCCACCTTGTCCTTCCCTCCCTCCACCCTGTCCCTCCCTCCCTCCACACCTGTACTTCCTCCTCTCCACCTTGTCCTTCCCCTCTCCCTCCACCTTGTCTTTCCCTCCCTCCACCCCTGCTGCTCCTTCCCACCTCCACCTAACCATTCCCTCCCTCCACCCTGTCCTTCCCTCCCCTCCACCCTGTCCTTCCTCTCCCTCCACCCTGTCCTCTTCCCTCCCTCCACCCAACCATTCTCTCCTCCACCCTGTTCTTCCCTCTCCCTCCACCTTTTGTCTTTTCCCCTCTCTCTCCTTGTTCTTCCCTCTCCCTCCACCCCTGTTCTTCCCTCCTCCACCCTGTTCTTCCCTCCCTCCACCTAACCATTCCCTCCCTCCACCCTGTCCTTCCCTCCCTCCACCTAACCATTCCCTCCCTCCACCTAACCATTCCCTCCCTCCACCCTGTTCTTCCCTCCCTCCACCTAACCATTCCCTCCCTCCACCCTGTCCTTCCCTCCCTCCACCCTGCCCTTCCCTCCCCCTGCCTCACCTTCAGAGACGATCACACTCTCGCCTCTGCCCGTAGCGAAAGATTTGGCCATCTCCCTCTCGTCGCCGGTCGAGCCCTTGCCGCACCACACATACGTCATCTGGTGCGTGCCTATGATGAAGCAGTCGTTGGAGTTGAGGCAGCCGGCCCGCTTGTCTACCTGCCACGGCATGTACAGTACACTTGTGGTTAACATTGTTCACTGAGTTCAAGTACAGTACTATATCACATTAATTTGGTCATGCTGTACAGGAAGAGAATTTTTGAAATCATTTGGTTGCACACACACACACACACACACACACACACACACACACACACACACACACACACACACAGAAGAGATATTAACCCTTTGTCCTATAAACGAGGATTAAAAGACAACAATGAAATGTTTCAATTTAAAATTATATCTCAAATGATAAAAACCTTTAGTGGTATAAAAAAAAGTTGGGGATATATCCTAATAATAAGACACACGAAAAATAGATATAAAAACCCCGAGCATTATTACCCTATAGCTAACGTTCAGAAAAAAGACGTAACGCTCAAGCAAACTGACTCGGAGTAGGAAATTTCTACAAAGTGTTCAGAACATCCATGTTAAATGACGACAGTATGCTTAGCTTAGGAGAACTATGTATATGATAATATGAAGGGTACACAGCGCTAGCAGCAGCCATGTTGTGTCTAGGTGAGAGTCTCACCAAAGAGGAGAGGTGTAGCTGTCCGAATAGCGACGAGAAGTTGACGAGCGACGAGTGACTATCTGAATGTTGATAGCGTTCATATGGTCTCTCTCTCTCCCCTCTCTCTCTTTTCTCTCCCTCTTTCTCCTTTTCTTTCTCTCTCTTCTCCTCATCATTCTTCTCTCTATATCTCTGTGTATCTTTTCCCTCTCCCCATAAGTTATCGTCCACCTGTCTCTCATTCTAGACAGTGTACAGTTTGCTAACCTCTACAGCCTTGGTGTTGTGGCTGGTAGTTCCTCGGACCTGCAACATGTAGGAAGACTTGTGGCCCTCGTCCCTCGCATCTGCACCTGTACACACAAACAACAACATCACCAAGTTAACACACTTTAGTTATTACATCATCATCGTTATATCCATCAATTAACATTTATTATTAATATTACTGTTAGCTGTCATCATCACTACATCACTATCACCACTCACCATCACCACTACATCACTACCCCTGCTCACCATCACCACTTCATCACTACAACTATCACTATCACCACTCACCATCAAAAGATGAGGCATAGCCTCCCTCAAAGACGACCATCTTGCCACCGAAGATGGCCATGAAGTGTGGCGGCTCCTTCCCCTGCACTACCCTCACCTGGACGGCTCGGCCCTGCAGCCTGTCGTCCAGCTCCACCGTCTTCAGCGCCGCCGTCCCCACCTCGTCCTGGCTGGCGTCGGAACCCTGTCAGTAGTGGACGGTGTTACTGAGGTGTTGAAGAGCATTATGAGTGGACAGGTAAAATAAAATAGTCACCGAAAAAAATACCGTACTATGATTTTTTATATGATCACTTAAAAACTGGGTATTCTTTTTCGATGACGTGGTATATCAAACAACATCTTCTTTCCATGATTCATCTTGTATGAAATTTTTTCACAATTCCTCCCCCTCTTTATCTACCATTACTCCTCAGAAAAATACCTTTAAGCCCACAAGAGCCGAAAATATTTTCCTTTCTATATCTCCTGAAACAAACCTTTGGTCTTTTCTCTCTCTCTACTTCACACAGGAATATTTTATCCTCTCTTTTACCCAAAATAATTCTTAAAATATTTTCGCTTTATCCTTGTTAAAAAAAGACCAACACATTTGACCTTCTCCCCTTCCTACAGGATCCCCCTAAATATTTCCCCTGCCACACTTCCAAGAAAACTCCTACCTTTGTTTCCTCCCTATAAAAGCTCTCCAACTCACAAGCCAGTAGTAGACGATGTAGTGCTCGGAGTTGCCCTCCAGGTAGGCGTAGAGGATGATATAACAGTCGCCCATAAAGAACTCTCCGAACTTGTCCTCTGGCACGGCGATCAGCTCGAAGTTCTTCACCCTGTGGCCACAACCACCACACACACACACACACGGGTTAGAAGGGCAGTAGTACAGTATATTGGTTGTCATGTGGTACAGGAGTTGATTTTAAGGTAGTAATGATGCTGATTGTGATATATTAGTATTGAAACATACAATAACACACACACACACACACACACACACACCACAGCAAAATGTCTCACCTCCACACTTCCTTCTGCCCTGAACCATCGTCAACCATCTGTGTCTTGGCAGCTATCTCAGGCTGGGAGTGGAGGGAGGTGGCGTCAAACTTGGTCTGTACTGTAGTGGCGATCTTGTTTGCTGTGGTAGATTAAACAAAAAAGAATTATTAAATTATTTATTGGATTTCTAGAGTCTCGTAAGTGTAATTTTGTCCTGGATCTGATCACCCGAGAATGCAATTAAATGACTTTATTTAGGTATTGCAAATGGTTAGATTCTCAGTTTATTTCGTTATTTCCCGCAGTGAAATAGCATATACAATCTACTGCAGAAAGATGAAATCAGAGTTTCGTTCGATAAATAATAATATAAGTGTAAGTATTATCTTCTATAGTAACTTTTATGTACTGGGAGAGTGAAAAGTCCCTTTGGGGTATGGTCGGGAGAGATGGGATAGCTTGTTACAAACCAATGGTCCCTCAACCACTCTCGCCCACCCATCATCTAAATTTGGAAAAAGTGGGATGAGGTTGTACTTGTAGGTTGTGAGCCACTTGTGGTCAGGGAGGTGGAGGTTAAATGGTTCTTGCAGGCCGGAGTGATGTGGGGAAAAGGGGCACTTGTGGCCAGGAAAGTGGAGGTAGAGGGAATATTGGCTTTACAGATAAGAATGGTGAAGCTCTTTGATAAAAACCACAACATTTGAGAAGATCCCCTGACTCAACGTGTTCAAGAGGTGAGCAAATTTGTGAGCACTTGAAGATTAGTTCCCCTCCCCCAGCTTATATCATCTGATAATTAACCACCCTAACGTTACCCGGAAGATCTATTTTATATTAGGATAGGTTAGGTTTGATTAGTTTAGGTTAGATCATTTTAGGTTAAGTTAGCGTTTGGGGCGTTAATCGTAATATGAATTAAGTTGGGGGTCCTAATCTTTAGATAATCCCAAATTCGATACATTAAGTCTTCAAAACTGAAAAGTTCGGTAGTGGGTCGTTAGGGAAATGTCTATTTCTGGTTAATAATTCTTATGTCACGTGTAAGGTAGATCTCTCTATCAAGAATCTGAGCTACTAAAAGGTAAGATCCCCAAAAGCGAGGTTTCTGAAGTAAGAATCATTAACCACAAATGTAAGTAAGACTTTCTAGTTCTGTATCAATCAATCAGAGAACCGTTCCTCATATCTGAGGGTTGGCGACCACAGTCCTCCACTCTAAACGTTCTAGACAGACCCAGTTTTTAATTTCATTCATCCATCCCAGTCTCTACCTTCCCCTGGCCCTCCTACCCGCAACTTTGCCCATTAATATTTCTGTTATCATTCCCCTTAAACAGCGAACACCTATAACATTTACACCTAAATTGAAACCTGACGTGACGTGACATGACGTGACGTGAAACGTTCAGATATTTCCCTAACTGCAGTATTCAGTGGTCAGATTCTCAACAGCGGGGTCTTGTGAGATTCAGAATCCCTACTTTAAATACTGTAGGTGAAGTTCTGTTAACATTTAGATGTAAGACCTTTAACTTCAAGTACTCTTCTTAAACCAGCAATCAACTCCTAAAGGTTAGAAATACAAAATGTATGAGGAATTTATCATGGGAAGAAGAAGAGCACGTGGCAGAGGAGTGTGTTGGAACTCACTGGAGGCTTGTCTACCGAACCCCCGACTTTGGTCCTTGTCCTTCCAGTCCTTGAAGAGCGTCTTGAACTCTGGTGGTTCCCCGTTGTCGATCACGCGAGCTACTTGTGTGCTGGGAGAGGGAGCCAACATCTCGTTATTAGCGTCATAAACACTACTGCTTAAAACACATTAGTTGTATTATTACGAGTCTTAACTCTAATGGAATAATATTTTCATTACTTCTTCGTCATCTGCAATATTATATTCGTCTGGGGCGTTTTGTTGTACACCCTCCACAACCCTCCAGGTGTCCGCCAAGCTGAAGGGCGGTACTCTGTGGTTACTCTAATTGGGGGAGGGGCGGTGTACAGTGAGGTAATGTGCCTCTTAATGACGCCCGTATGTAAAGCGAGAAATGTCTATTTTATCCTCTCTCTCACCTGGCTGGATAACCCTTCTTGGTGACGAAGCCCTGGGCGTTCCTGAGTGCCTCTTCCCTCTCCTTTTGTGTGGCCTTCTTGCCCACCCACACCCAGATGCCGTCCTGGCCGTTGTCGATGATGAAGGAGTCCTGTAGGGGGAGACACCGTCACCATCCTTATACACTACTGCTCTAACATAACATACCTGCACTATACTAAGGCACACCGTCACCATCCTTATACACTACTGCTCTAACATAACATACCTGCACTATACTAAGGCACACCGTCACCATCCTTATACACTACTGCTCTAACATAACATACCTGCACTATACTAAGGCACACCGTCACCATCCTTATACACTACTGCTCTAACATAACATACCTGCACTATACTAAGGCACACCGTCACCATCCTTATACACTACTGCTCTAACATAACATACCTGCACTATACTAAGGCACACCGTCACCATCCTTATACACTACTGCTCTAACATAACATACCTGCACTATTTAAAATTCCTTTATTTTAACTGTTCGGTGTTTTTTTGTTAAATGGGTACGACTATAAACCCTAAGATGAGAGTGAGTGTAAATGAATGACTGTCAGCTAACTGTGACTGTCAGCTAACTGTATATGGATCAGACTACATATGTCACTGTGAGATGTGACGGTGAGACGCCGGGCTGACCTGAGAGTTGAGGTCTGACTGAGACAGCGGGCCGTTCTTCACCTCCACCACCTTCAGGGTCCCAGACTCATCACTACACCGGAACAACTTCAATTCCTCGCACACGCGGCGGGCCTGGAGGAGGAGGAGGAAGAGCAGCTGTTAGTATTAAACACACACACATTAAGGTCTCGTTAATGTGAGTCTAGCATATTCAAAACTTACTAATCATAACTTCGTTCTCAAGACTCGTGTCCACAAAATATACTTAATTACCCCCACATCGTTCTTACAGGTTTCATACATGTTCATTATAACACACAAAAAGTTCCCAACAATACCCACTAATATCTTCTGAGTCTTAGCAGTTACACTAACGGTACGTACCACAGACTCGTCTTTGGGCGCTTGAGAGGCCGGGGTGAGCTGTTTGTTGTTGAGTGGGAGAAGCTTCTCGAAGGTCTTCCGCTCCAGGTCTTGAAGCACACTCTCCTGGCCGTCCTCCACCACCACCACTGCCCCGCCCCCGTGCTCCTGACGCAGTGTTGAGGCGAACTGTTCCCACACACAGAGGACCAAGTTTTAGTATAACCTCCTAACTTAACCTAACCTAATCTAACCTTTCAGTGTGGTGTATACTATTCATACACACACTGATACCCGAGACACACACACTGATACCCGAGACACACACACTGACACCCTAAACACACACACACTGATACTCACTGACACACACTGACACCCGAGACACACACACTGACACCCTAAACACATACACACTGATACTCACTGACACACACTGACACCCGAGACACACACACTGACACCCTAAACACATACACACTGATACCCACTGACACACACTGATACCCGAGATACACACAGACACGCTAGAAATAACGAACAGACAGACAGACACACACACACACACTGCTGTCACCCGGGATACAAAACTTGGCACAACACCCACCTTGGCAACCAGGACCTCTCTTGGCACCTAACATTCATCTTGGCACTTATAACACACTCTGGCACCCAACACCCACCTTGGCACCCAACACCCACCTTGGCACCCACACCCACCCACCTTGGCACCCAACACCCACCTTGGCACCCAACACCCACCTTGACACCCCCACCTTGACACCCAATACCCACCTTGGCACCCAACTCCCACCTTGGCACCCAACACCCACCTTGACACCCAATACCCACCTTGACACCCAACACCCACCATGGCACCCAACACCCACCTTGGCACCCACCTTGACACCCAATACCCACCTTTTGCTTTACCCACCTTGACACCCCAATACCCACCTTGGCACCCACCTTGACACCCACCCACCTTGACACCCACCCACCTTGGCACCCAACACCCACCTTGGCACCCAACACCCACCTTGACACCCAATACCCACCTTGACACCCAATACCCACCTTGGCACCCCACCCACCTTGGCACCCAATACCCACCTTGGCACCCAACACCCACCTTGACACCCAATACCCACCTTGGCACCCAACACCCACCTTGACACCCCAATACCACCTTACCTTGGGACACCCAATACCCACCTTGGCACCCAACACCCACCTTGGCACCCAACACCCACCTTGGCACCCAACACCCACCTTGGCACCCAACACCCACCTTGGCACCCTGCAGCTTCTCCATGTTGTTACTGTTGCGTCCCGTCCACACATAGATGATATCCTTAGTGTCCAGAACGTACACGTCACCGTCGTTCATGCCACACCAGGTGATCTGTACAGGCCAACACAACACTTAGACAACACAACATTTGATCTGTATATATGAGAACTGAAATATACAATACACAGGAAAATCTATTAAGATAATGTAAACAATTTTCACTCACATGTGATAATTGTTTACATTTGTTCCGGGTATTTAGCCTGGTTTATCACCCCAATGGCCTACGATTCTTGATCTGGCTGGCTGGTGTTTAGGACCACCTGAAGATTACACATCCCAGTTTATTTCACCTGAAGACTAATAACCATTACACTCTCTGAGGGGGGTAGGTTAGGTTGTGGTAGATTAAGTTAAGTTAGGTCATGGTAGGTTATAGGCGGCTATGTTATGGTAGATTAGGTTAGCTTTTGGTAAGTTAGGTTAAGTTAACATAGATTAGCTTAGGTATGGTTGAATTTAAATTAAATTATTTTAGATAAGGGTAGGTTAAGTTAATGCCAGGGTGGTTAATCTTCATGTGATATACACTAGGGGTGTCTTATCTTCACGTGATCCATTTTTTCCTTTGCACGCGAGGAAAGTTCTTGGTGGCCCTTATGATAAAACATCTCTCGTAATACTGAGACCAACACTATACGGTACTTCATTATCCTTCAGGCTGGACCACCAAACAAACAACAAAATCAACTCTAAAATGATGAATAAAATCTAATACGAAAGCAGAGATGCTGATGACAATAACAACAAAGTAAAAACAGGGATGAAGGAAAGAGGAAGAAATACACAGGAAATTAATAATGTAAATAAAAGAGGAGATGACAAGTAAAGGGCAGGACCTCGGGTAGCTGCTTGACGATGGTGGTTCTCTTGCCCTTGACGTGGTAGAGGGAAGGTTCGAAGTCGTCTGTCACCTTCCTCAGGCCTGATGCTACCCCTCCGCTCATCAACCTGCCAACACAGTCTTCATTCACTTCATGAGACCAAGATAACAGGATATATCACTCTTTAGTACTACTGAGGTCAAGATAACAGAATATATCACGATTTAATATTACTGAGGCCAAGATAATATCCGAGCAGGATAGGACTCGAAGCAACGGATTTAGGTTGGATAAGTTTAGGTTTAGGAGAGAGATAGGAAGTAACTGGTTCACAAAAAGGGTGGTAGAAGAATGGAACAAGCTTAGCAGCTTTGCAGTAAGTGCTGGAACGCTGGAAAGTTTTAAAAAGGAGGCTAGATAGATTCATGGATGATAGAGAGTGGTAGTAACTCTCGACAGGAGCTGCCATGCACAGACCAACCGGCCTATTGAAGACTCCTTATATTCTTATCTCATGTTCCTTCCATACATCTATTATTATTATTCTAGTCTCCGTCCTCACCTCACCTCACCTCACCTCACCTCATGTTTCACCAATCACAATACTCCGTCGCATGTGTGTGTGTGTGTGTGTGTGTGTGTGTAACTTGTGCACCATGAATCACTGCTAACGCTAAAATTATACTAAGATATATCCAAGACTACCTGAATATACTGCATATTAAAAAGCGGTAGCGTGAGTGTATATTCGTGTACCTGTAAGTATATGTGTATGTATGATTATAAGAATATATACGCATAAGTGTACATGTTTATGTATGAATTTATGAAACTATATTCATGTGTGTGTACTGTATATGTGTACGTATGAGTCTAAGAGTATGTATTCATGTATGCACTTATATAACTATGTGTGTGCACGTATGAATTTTCCCCCAAAATATGAAGATAAAAAAAATTTACGAATCATTAAGCTAGTGTTATGAGGGTGGTTAAGGGTGATAATTTTTCAGGGTGGTTGAAGCATATTTGGCCTTCCCGGACTTACCTCAGAATTATACGGTCTGTGGGAATGATTCATTATTTAACTTCGCTACGTGTGAACAGATTGGAGTTTTGATTGACCTTAAGTTTTGTATACGATAGAAACTTTCCGAAATTCAGTGTATAACAATGATATAAACTAAGAAACTGTACAGTACTCACAAATAGATAAAATTGAAACAACGTAACGCATAATATTAGAGCAATTGGTGTTCCTCAGGCTGCCAGGGTAAGGAAGAACGTATTATGGAATTGTTCAAGTTCTTTAACAGTCCACAGTAATATAGTATACTCCTCAGCTCTTATACATTACTGATATTGTGTTATACTGTGTTATACTTTTAATTCGCTGACATAAAGGAATAACTTTGTAGTACATTGTGATAATATTTACATTACTTTATTTTTCACTCGTATATTTATTAATCAAATTTATTTTCTCTTTTTTTTTATTAGTAATTATTTAGATTTTCTTTAGTAGTCTATTTCACAAAATGTATACCATAAGAAAAATGGATTGTACAAAATTAGTTGTGAATAAGAATGGATTACAACTATATTCGTGCACACACAGATAAAAACATCGTATATATTAAAAGCCATCATACGAGATATTACATGTTTGTGAGAGTCCGCGTTCTCTCACTGTTCATAACACCCTGGTCTCTCACCCACAACAAACACACAAATCTACAATGATGTTGAAAATTCTCAAAAAATACTGTAAATAAATATAAATCTGAAAAATACGTATACAGTATCTTGACTTGGTGAAAATGACAACCAAGTGTAAAAAATAGCTATAATCTATAATGTTTAGCTACCACGCCACCAATATTGGGTGGCGTGCGGACACGAGGGAGTTGTGATGGATGATTAACTCTCGTGCTGGGATGGAAACTTCCACTCACCACGCTACAGCCACAGCTACAGGAATAGATAAATGTAATCTGGGCTGTCACCAGGGCCAACAGGACTCGTCTACAGAGCAGAAAATTGTAACGAAGAGGAGGAGTTTCTATCCCAGCTGGTAGAGGAGATGGTGTGTGTGTGTGTGTGTGGGGGGAGCTGTGTGTGTGTTAGAACAGCTAGATGGTGAATATACAGGGGGGTGGGGGGGGGCTGCTATTGTCACACCATCGTCAGGCGCGTCACGTACCCTCACATGACGCAGTGTATGAGCCTTCTGTGCACCAGTGTACAGGGAAGAGGATTATGGCAAAGCATTGGAATATGAAAGGAATTGGATCAGAATGGATAAAGGTCAGGTATTATGAAACCTGTAGCAACGGAAGGGGGATTATGTTATGCAATTATCCATGTATGGGTTAGGTTATAACACAGTAAGGTGAAGTGAAATATATAAAATAGGCGCTTGGATAATATGATAACGCAACAAAACTAACGTAAAAACAAGGAATGTGTCAACCAACATCCTTGCATCCTGTCTGAAATTCAAGAAGTGAGAGAACACTGTGTCAAGTTACTGGTACATAGTGTGTGTGTGTGTGTGTGTGTGTGTGTGTGTGTGTGTGTGTGTGTGTGTGTGTTTTTGATTGACCTGATGCCGTTCTTGAAGTAAGAGAGCATCCTCTTGCTCTCGGCGCCCTCCGTCTCCCGGTGTTGGATGGGTCCTCCCCCAAGCATGTTGTCCAGCTCCACTGTTTTGATGGCCGCGACCCCAGCCTCGTCCGTGCTCGTCTCAGATCCCAGCCAGAAGTGGATGTGGATGTCGAGGGGGCCGCGTGGCGGGTGAGGCTGTAATACCACACAATATTAAAGTTTACTGACACACGGTGAGACACACTGTACACGGCAAACATTCATTATACTTTCATCTGCTCACCACACCAACATGTTATTTCAGAACTAAATACAGTATATATCTTTTGCGATTCCTTGGTGATGCCGCGGGCCTTCTTAGGCCTTTGCTCCAGTACTTATATACAAATATTTAAATTTGGAACATGTAATTCTTATATGTGGGAATATGTAAAAGGGAAACGAGAGCAAAATTTAGATACTGAACGACGCATTTTAAAGGGAAAATTTTCATTTCTGATACATCAGTGGTTATGAATGTAATCGATACGTGTGAGTCGACAACACCCGTGACACAGTGAAGAAATCAGGAAATATCAGAGAGACAAGAGGAAATGGAAGAAGTCTCGAGGATCAGAGAGAGAGAGAGAGAGAGAGAGAGAGAGAGAGAGAGAGAACAGTGTGGGGCCGGCGCCTGTAACGTGACCTGTCGAGTCTCGCACTCACCAGAGGTCTCGACAGGGTTAGGGTGGAGTTATGAACGGCGTGTCTTACTAACTACCATCACTACCGGTAACAAATGCGCTGGAATACTTTATTAAGCCAAACAATACTCGTTTACCTATGTATTAGTGATGCCCTACAGAGAACACCTCGGCGTGTACACTTTCCTTAGCATATCGCAGATATTAATAATAATAAAAAATAAAATACAAATAAATTAAAAGGTTAATTAAAACAAAACGAACCTATTGTGTTGGGAGCAGAGGATCAGTGCCGTTTGTATGGTCAACATTGTAATGTAATTTAATAATGGTGAGTGATATATGACGTCCGTATGATTCATCTTGTGGCCTTAGTATACACATTGTACTGTACTCGTGTGTTGAGTTACGTGACTCATCCTGGGCTCCAACAACATGCACAGTGACGCTCGCTTACTGTATACAGCAGAAGCTCTACTCCCAGTCTTCAAGCAACTTTAACAATTAAGATCGTTTCCACGTTTTGTCGAAGAAGGAGAAATTTAACCTTAACCCGAGCTTGTCTTTATGAAGCCTGAAGGCGTGAAGCCTCCTGGGGGTTCAAGGGCGAGTGCCCACAGAATTGTCAGAAACAGAGATGTTTTATGGTGCATTTTGTTAAAAATAAATTTGCGTTGTGAATTAAATTTTTCGGGAAGGAAGTAGTAAAGGGGAGATTTGTGTGAACCTCCCCGTTGTTAACTGAATAATGATCGGTATGTATTGTACACAAATAAAAATGATTAAACCAGGACACACTTCACTCTGTACTTGAGCCTTCATCATGGTAAAGTTACTCGTGGTACAGTAAAGTGGAGAGAATGTGTCTTCCACCTCCAACACTTTAATCTATCATCTCACCTCTTTATCATCAGCTGTTTGATCTATTATTTATTACTTTATCATCACGTGTTGGTACAGGAGGAAACCGAAGTGCCCATAGGACACCTGTGATGTTTGGATGAGTCACACTGGTTAACACCCTTCCCACCTGTCTCAGGCCAAACTCGAACCACGACACAGTTGTAAGAGATATACAGATGTGTGCGTCACCACTGCACCACCAACACCCCCAGCAGTTGCAAGGCTGAACAAGGCATGGTAATAAATTTTGAATGGCGTAAACTGCTTACTAAAAGCGTTTTAAAACATGTCTACTTATACTTAAAAGCTATGGTTTCTATATACGAAAATAAATGCCCTTGAATTTATTTAATACATGAGCCAAGTAGCACCACTCACCTCAAGCTGCCGCCCTCACTCATCACTAGACACTAAATACTATAGAAATCCAGGATAATAATTTACGTTAATAATTAATCATAATTCTGTTCCATGGGTAATAAATCGTTAAAGAGTTTTACTAAGAAGAAGTGGCCATTACTAACACATGTAAAGCACTGTGTAATGATCACTGTGTGGGTAAAGAGGGTATTAATTATTTAAAGGTATAACAATAACGCAAGTAAAAAGAAATATAAAAGAAGAGAAGGAAAGAACACGAGAAAAAACAGATAGTAAACCAAATGAAGACATAGTTACCTAATGGAAGTGGGCGATGGAGGTCATATCACTTACACAAACACAAAAACACATCACTTACACAAACACAAAAACACATTACTTACACAAACACAAAAACACATTACTTACACAAACACAAAAAAATTCATCACTCAAAAGTAGACCAGAACTTGCAGGATGTGAGGTGATATTAGTGTTAAAATTACAGTGACAGCTGCCAGCACACACACACACACACTGGTTATGTTGTCACTTTGTTTACTCTACCTACAACAGGTGCCTAGAGTCCTAATAACTTGGTAATGGCCTCGGTAATATTTTATGATTACCCGAAGATCAACCGTGTGACAAATTTTTGGAGGAAATTTGCTTAACCAGATTTTATGGGAAAAGTTAAATAAACACTTTAAACATTCAAAGTTATTGTGTGTATCAACTCACAGATCACCTCTGTCCGCCTAAGATGGTGCCAGTGGCGGTAGCCCTTGTCCTGTGATGTCAAAACAACACTTACCTCACACTACAGGCTGTGTAGGGTGGCGGAGGCGGCATCTGTGATCGCTTATCCTAACTAACACTCCTCCTCCTCCCTATAATCTGGTGTAATGGCGATAACACTTGTTTTGTCACAACACCTGTCGCCTCACGTTTACAGTTTCTCAGCTTGGTGGTTAGAGGCCTTTGAAATGTCGACAACTTGACATCGACAGACTAAGAGATAAATCACCTGCACCTGACATTGGTCACTAATCCAGGTACACTGATGAAACGCCTCCCAGGTTAAACATGTACGGAGAGGTGGGTCAGGCAGCACCTGACAATTTCCCGTGTAAGTGTTTTCCTCTCAAAATATTAACTTATACGCCGGGCAAATGGACATGAAAAAGCACTTGCCCCGCCCTTAATCCGGGCACGACTGGGCTGCTGGGCTCTGTTAATCTGCACAGCCTAAACTAAATAACCATTCGTAAAATAGGTGCAAACAACTAAAGGGAAAATATTTAATTAACCACAGGTAAAGATGAGAGTGTTGACAAATAACAGTAAAGGTAACCATACACCGTCCATTAACACAGGACTCATTCCTATACCTGTATCTTATAGTAACATTGTATACCTTCACTGTCTAGTAACATTGTATACCTTCACTGTCTAGTAACAGTGTATACCTTCACTGTCTAGTAACATTGTATACCTTCACTGTCTAGTAACATTGTATACCTTCACTGTCTAGTAACATTGTATACCTTCACTGTCTATCTCTAAGCTCAACCAATGATTAGCTTGTATGGCAATTTTACTGAATATCTATCAATTTATCTATCTATTATTTTATCTAACCCATCTATATATCCATCTATCCATCCATCCTTTATCTATATATCCATCCATCCATCCATCCATCCATCTATCCAAGGTGACACTCACGACGTCCGCCATCCCTGCTGGCTTGCCATACTCTGAGGCGGAGAGGATGACGTAGGAGTCACCTTTGTGGAGCTTGCCATAGTCGTCACGCTTCAGAGGCACCAGCTCCAGGTTCTGTAGGAGAGAGGTGTACCTGTGTTAGTGTCAGGAGTACCTAGGGGTGGGGGGGGGGCACGTGGAGGGGGAAGGGGGAGAGGTAATAAGAGGGATGGGGGCAGAAGAGGTCGTGTGAGGGGGAGGTGGTGAGTGTTTAGCAGGGGCGGATCCAGGGATATCAAAAAGGGGGGTCTAAGAAGTTGTGGGTGAGGAAACATGGCGAGCATAGCGAGCCAACCCAACTGGGGGGTTTAGGGGGGGGGGGTGGCGCTGTAAGCCATGGAGAATGTTTTTTTTTAACCGGACCAATATCATGGGCATTTCGAGGCCATTTTAAAGCCATTTGCACTTGATATTGGGAGATATTTTGAGGTCAATAGTAATTTTTACTATACAAAAATACCTGAGTACAATACTGCATTAAAGAAAAAGTATTGAAATTTTCTGATGAAAAGAGGGTGTAGACCCCCAGGACCCCCCCTGGATCCGCCACTGTCTAGGGTCCAGTATATTGAAAATGTTTTGGTGAAATTAACGTGACTCTTATGGAGTTAAACTTAGGTCAGGTAGAATTAACATACCTTAGTTTATAGGGTCAAATAAATGTCTAGTGCCATTAACATATCATAATTTTTGGTGTAAAATAAATGTGTATTAAAATTAACATTCCTAATGGAACAGAATAACTATAACATAGATATATCTCAGTTTAATGTTGGAATAAATATTGTTTATCATAGTTCATTTTTCACAATAACTGTGTGGTGCTGTGTGGTGCCAACAGGTGTACCACAAACATGTGTAAGAGACATTAGGCTACTGAGCATGGCGAGTGTAGTATAATAAACCATTGTGGAGGAAGATAAAGGTGGTAGACTATACTGTAGGTGTACTGCATACTAGTGTGGTAAAGTACACATATTCATTGGAGTATTTACTTTTAAGTTACAACACCGTTCTAAATGTGGGGATGGCTAGTTATAACGGGGCTGTGTGTGTAGTGACCAGGAGAGTGTGTCAGTGTACAGGTGTGTGTGTGTAGTGACCAGGAGAGTGTGTCAGTGTACAGGTGTGTGTGTGTAGTGACCAGGAGAGTGTGTCAGTGTACAGGTGTGTGTGTGTAGTGACCAGGAGAGTGTGTCAGTGTACAGGTGTGTGTGTGTAGTGACCAGGAGAGTGTGTCAGTGTACAGGTGTGTGTGTGTGTAGTGACCAGGAGAGTGTGTCAGTGTACAAGTGTGTGTGTGTAGTGACCAGGAGAGTGTGTCAGTGTACAGGTGTGTGTGTGTAGTGACCAGGAGAGTGTCTCAGTGTACAGGTGTGTGTGTGTGTGTGTGTAGTGACCAGGAGAGTGTCTCAGTGTACAGGTGTGTGTGTGTGTGTGTAGTGACCAGGAGAGTGTCTCAGTGTACAGGTAAGTGTGAAGGACTCAAACAATAAGTCAGTATATCCTGCAGGTAATACAGTCATACCTTCTGTTACTCAGCTTCATCACAAATAAAAGTTGTATGGCAATTCTTGGATAACCTAACAAATAATTAAGACAAACTATGGCGTCAATTAATGTCAGCCTTAATTACTGTAAGTAAATTAATATAATAAACAATCTCGAGTGCTGAGGGAAAATTATTGTTCCAAGAGAATATTTTTATACTAATTTGGATATATTTTTTGTTTTTCATACTAAAAGGAGAATGTTCGTTAGTATTTATCATCTACATTACTGCGACATTATCATAATAATATGATAATGAGAATGTAAAATGATTTTGAAATTAATTTATTATGTTAGTTTATCCCATGAACAAAATAAAAGTGACTGAAGCAGCAGTGAAATTAAATATCACCCCAGAAATATGACAAATGTTTGAAAAAAAAAAGGAATTCTGTCAATATGTTCAGGTGATGATAAACTGAGCTACACCTCATGTGGAATGTGTCTAGCTTCGACGCCATGGGATTTATGACACAAAACATTTCTTTCAACACACATGGGTGAGCGAGGCCTGAACACCGCCCACCCACACGTGAGGTGTTGTGTGGTGACACTGTACCACCATAACACCACAACCTGCCTGTGAGGTGTTGTGTGGTGACACTGGACCACCATAACACCACAACCTGGCTGTGAAGTGTTGTGTGGTGACACTGTACCACCGTAACACCACAACCTGCCTGTGAGGTGTTGTGTGGTGACACTGTACCACCATAACACCACAACCTGCCTGTGAGGTGTTGTGTGGTGACACTGGACCACCGTAACACCACAACCTGCCTGTGAGGTGTTGTGTGGTGACATTGTACCACCGTAACACCACAACCTGCCTGTGAGGTGTTGTGTGGTGACACTGGACCACCGTAACACCACAACCTGCCTGTGAGGTGTTGTGTGGTGACATTGTACCACCGTAACACCACAACCTGCCTGTGAGGTGTTGTGTGGTGACACTGGACCACCGTAACACCACAACCTGCCTGTGAGGTGTTGTGTGGTGACATTGTACCACCGTAACACCACAACCTGCCTGTGAGGTGTTGTGGGGTGACACTGGACCACCATAACACCACAACCTGGCTGTGAGGTGTTGTGTGGTGACACTGGACCACCGTAACACCACAACCTGCCTGTGAGGTGTTGTGTGGTGACACTGGACCACCATAACACCACAACCTGGCTGTGAGGTGTTGTGTGGTGACACTGGACCACCATAACACCACAACCTGCCTGTGAGGTGTTGTGTGGTGACACTGGACCACCGTAACACCACAACCTGGCTGTGAGGTGTTGTGTGGTGACACTGGACCACCGTAACACCACAACCTGCCTGTGAGGTGTTGTGGGGGAGGTGACACTGTACCACCACAACCTACAAGTGTTCTCACCTGTTCATAACGCACCTCAGTCATGAATCTAAGGGTGAACCCCCAACACTTGCCTCAATATGTTTTATGCTGTATGTCTCTTAATTTTTCTCTTCACTGGATATTTATTGTACTATACTAAAGATATTAAAGAAAGACAACAACCACCTCAGTAACTGCAAGAAGTTATTAATGTACTTATGTAGTTATTAATTCTATAACTAAGGAAACAACAAAATTCTATACAGGTTGTTCAACGTTGTGTGGTGAGTGTTAGGCTGGTGTAAACACGGTGGGCAAGGAGTACATGGTGGCTGTAACCTCTCGTAGACTGTTGAGTGACTGAACAATGGGGTGTAGACAAGACAGTCAGGGCAGGGCAGGGCAGGGCAGGGCAGGGCAAAACCGGAAAGGACAAGGCAAGGCAAGGGATGACAGGGAGGGGAGGGCAAAAAAGAACAGGGCAGGGCAGGGGGGGGCAGGGTAGGGCAGGGCAGGGGGGGGGCAGGGTAGGACTCACCTCGACCCTCCAGATGATGAAGCAAGTGGAGTTCTTGGGGATGATGTTGAAGGCGGGGTCCTGCACGGGGTCACCCATCCTGCCGAACACAACACAAGTCATTACTACACGACATCTGAGAGGGATGAGTGGGAGTCGTGGGTAAGATACTACTACCAATAGCAGGGGATAATGTGTTAGAGTAAGACAAAATCGACAAGTAAATATTTACAAACTTAGAGTAAACAAAATGTATACATGTCAATAATAACAAACATTAACTTCATATGAGTAGGAATTGAATTAGAGTTAATCCACCAAACCAAATTTAACCCAACTTACCCTAACTACACGAAACAAGGTAATATCAACAGTCTCTATAATGTTACAAACTTTAAAAATTACCACCTAAACATAACCTAACCAAACTTAAACCTAACTTAATCTAACCTAATTTACGCAAACTTAGCCCAACCTAACCTAACCAAGCCTAATCTACGCTAACCTAACCTAACCTAACCTAACCTAACCAAGCCTAATCTACGCTAACCTAACCTAAACCCCCCCAGGTAGTGATAGGGTGTTTATTCATCAGGTGAAATAAGCTGGAGGGTTAATCTTCAGGTGATAATAAAGGTCTAATTCTAAGCTGATAAAAAGTCAGTCAACATCAGCAGCTGTAATTTTCAATCCCCACCTCAATAGTAATGCTCACCTGGAATGTAATTAATATCACAGGTGTAAGCAAAATGAGTAATAGTGTGGTACATGAACGACTGCACTACACCATGACCACACTACGCCACGACCGCACTACGCCATGACCACACTATGCCACGACCACACTACACCATTACACTATGCCATGACCACACTACACCATGACCACACTACATCATGACCACACTACACCATACCGCACTATGCCATGACCACACTACACATGACCACACTACATGACACATGCCACTACACCATGATGACATGACTACACTATGCCATGACCACACTACACCATGACCACACTACATCATGACCACACTACATCATGACCACACTACATTATGACCACACTACACCATGATCACACTACGCCATGACCACACAACACCATGACCACACTACATCATGACCACACTACATCATGACCACACTACATCATGACCACACTACACCATGACCACACTACACGACCAAACTACACCATGACCACACTACATCATGACCACACTACATCATGACCACACTACATTATGACCACACTACACCATGATCACACTACGCCATGACCACACTACATCATGACCACACTGCATCATGACCACACTACATCATGACCACATAAAACTGCCTTACGGGAAAAGTGAGTGTTCCTGTTTGACGAGGGTGCGGGTGTGGGGGGGGGTCCTGATTGGTTGGGTAGCGGGGGTAGGGAGTTCTGATTGGTGGGAGTGGTGGGTATGGGGTCCTGATTGGTGGGAGAAGATAGGTGAGTTCTGATTAGTGGGGAGGGAGATGTTGTACTTGGCCGGTGGTTGGCTGTAGATGGTACAGAGATTATCGCGATATTTGAGTCGTTTATCATTATCATCTCAAGCAACTGGGAGACTTTTTTACAATAACTATCTTTTGGAATTTACGAGTCATTAGAGGCTACACACTTCATAATGACACGCGAGGCTACACACTTCATAATGACACGCGAGGCTACACACTTCATAATGACACGCGAGGCTACACACTTCATAATGACACGCGAGGCTACACACTTCATAATGACACGCGAGGCTACAACACTTCATAATGACACGCGAGGCTACAACACTTCATAATGACACGCGATATAATATAAAATAAGGATCGAAGTATAATATAGAGAGAGAGAGAGAGAGAGAGAGAGAGAGAGAGAGAGAGAGAGAGATAAAACAATAACACAATAACCAGCTCGAGTAAAGTCTCCCTGCAATCAATTATTCAGCAACGAGGAAGAGCTCTTGAGTAAGTAGGACAACCAAGGCATCAGCAGCAGCAGCACTGATGAGAATGTCAAGAAAGATATGGCATGACCCACACACCAGATCACGGGGTCCTCCTGCCCACGGTACAGTATACAAGGTCGTGGGTTCCAGTACCATCATTTCTTTGGTGACTTGTCAAATGTCTTTCAGTTCTATTAAGTTACAGACCTAATGGGGGTCAAATCTTTATCGATCCAAGTACTAATGGGTTCAATAATAATGGTCCATAATCCTAATAGATGAGTGACTAGTTTAGATTGGGACTTGCTAGAAATGAAATATGCTGGGATGTGTAATCTTCAAGTGACGTCAATTCAATTCATGTTTTGTTGGGACATATTGTGGTATTGTTGCAGTATATCCAGGCTTCACTACATCCATGCGTCACTATATCCTGATTTCAGTATATTTAGGTTTCACTATCCAGGCTTCACTACATCCATGCTTCACTACACTCATGCTTCACTACAACCAGGCTTCACTATCCAAGCTTCACGACATCCAGGCTTCACAACATGCAAGTGTCACTACATCCAGGCCTCACTACATTCAAGCTTCACAACATTGAGGCTTCACTATCTAAGCATCATTACATCCAGGCTTCACTATATCCAGATCAGCAGCAATTGAGCCAACAAGGTAAGTTAAGACAAGGTCGGGTGGCTAATCGCATCATCCAGGGACCTCTGTGGGGGATTGGGTCGATTACGTGTGGGTGGGATGGCCGGAGCCCTAGCTAGACCCTGGTGATTTTTGTCCAAACCTACGTCTTATTAATCCGCTCAGAGGGCAGTTAATCCTACAGTAATCCTTCTATAGACCTTGGCATGTTAGTATAGTAGATATTAATCCTTATCACCTTTTCACTGTTTATTACCCTGTGATTAATCCGCTCTAGCTGTAATTAATCCCCCTCACTCAATCTGCTAGTATTCGTTAATAATCCCCTTCATCCTGCTACTACATGTCATTAATCTCCCTCACGCTCAACATTTACCTGTAATCCTAAAAATGCCACATGCAATCCTGGCAGATTATTGTCAAGTCCACCTGTGCCACGCTAATCCTACCCAGCGACTTCAGCTGATCCACCAATACCATTCCGTGACCTCAAATGACCCACCAATACCACTCCTTGACCTCAAATGACCCACCAATACCATCCCGTGACCTTAAATACTCCCCTGTGACCTCAAATGACCTACCAATACCACCCTGTGACCTCAAATAGTACCCTGTGACCTCAAATGACCCACCAATACCACCCTGTGACCTCAAATGACCCACCAATACCACCCAGTGACCTTATATGACCCACTAATACCACCCCTGACCTTAAATGACCCACCAGTACCACCCAGTGACCTCAAATGACCCACCAATACCACCCTGTGATCTCAAATGACCCACCAATACCACCCAGTGACCTCAAATGACCCACCAATACCACCCCATGACCTCTGACCTCAGCACACCCACCAATACCACTCCGTGACCCTTGACCTCAGACCTCTGCCCACTGTGCCACTCCGTGACCCTTGACCTCATTCTTCTTCATTTCCACTAATTCCCTCTGTGACCTCCATCCTCCGGGCTTCCTGGACAGGTTAGGTGGGAGAGAGAGAGAGAGAGAGAGAGAGAGAGAGAGAGTCTCGCCACAACCTATATAACAAAAATCAATGTTCCTGATAACGCCTCCACAACCTCCCCCCCCTTTAGTTGTTCTATCTCTGTTATTACTCCTCTCTCTCTCTATCTCTCTTCTCTACCTTCTATCTTTCCTTCTACTCTCTCTCTCTCCTTCTCTTCTCTACCTTCTATCTTTCCTTCTACTCTCTCTCTCCTTCTCTTCTCTACCTTCCATCTTTCTTTCTACTCTCTCTCTCTCTCTCTCCTTTTCTTCTCTACCTTCTATCTTCCCCTCTACTCTCTCTCTCTCTCACCTCTCTTCTCTCTTCTACTCTCTCTCTCCTTCTCTTCTCTATCTTCCCCTCTACTCTCTCTCTCTCTCACCGTCTCTTCTCTACCTTCCCTTGTACTCTCTCTCTCCTTCTCTTCTCTATCTTCCCTTCTACTCTCTCTCTCTCACCGTCTCTTCTCTACCTTCCCTTGTACTCTCTCTCTCCTCTTCTCTATCTTCCCTTCTACTCTCTCTCCTCTTCTCTATCTTTTATCTTCCCTTCTACTATCTGCTTATTTTCGTTTTCTCTCTTACTTCTTTATTTTTTATTATTGTAGCGATAGTTTGTCTCTGTTCTTAATATTATTATTGTTGTTGTTTTTCTCTCCATCATCCCTCGTTATTATCATCATCTCGTCATTGATCATCGCTTTTATCATTATGACTTTTTTCTCTTTGTTACTTCATAACAATGTTTTTTTTTTCTAATAATTATCTCTTTTTTTTTCGTCAATATTTCTCATGTTTAATACAGTGTCGTTTTTTTTTCTCATTATAAAATTTCACAGTTCTTATGCCTTTTATTTCAATTAATATTTCCTAGTTCTAATATGTCTCTTTAATATTTCCCATTCTGATGCCTTATTTCTTTTAAATAATTCCCAGTTTTAACGTATTTTATTTTCTATTAATATTTCCCATTTCTAATATACAGTATATATCAGTTTTAATTAATATTCCTCAGTTTCAACACCGCGTCTCCTTTCTCATCGCCCTTCCCCCATGTCCAATATCGTTCCGTGTCTCGATTCCGCTTTCCCCTCCCTCCCCCCTCACCTGATAGCCTCCGTCCTTGACAACACTCCTAGCTTCGTTATACTACTAAACAGGAGAGGGACGGACGGACGGACGGAAGGGAGGGAAGGAGGTAGAGAAGGGAGGAACGGAGGCAAAGAGGGGGGGGGAGTGAGGAATGGAGGGAGTCACTCTTAAAGCTGAAGGCTCGGCCCGGTCTTTGAGGCACCGCATGTTCTAATTTACGTGTCCTGGTGTTAATTTTTTTGTCCCAACTCCCTCCTGTGTTTCTCAACTAGTGGGGGGATTGGAAAGGTGGGGAGAGAGAGAGAGAGAGAGAGAGAGAGAGAGACTATGTCCACCACGCCAGCCAGGTCTGAGTTAAAA